GTTCCCAATCCTCAAGTACTTGTTCTGAATGCCGGCACTTCAGTAATACGAGGCCAGAGCCAAACATCACATCTTTAGAGATGATGTACTGTAAGTAAAAAAAACTGCTGCTTAAATGATTTGTCTTTTTAAAATTTGGTGGCATCTTTCCTCTACTATCCACAGTCCCAAATCACCAGCAGCTGCTCGGGAGAGAGACTGGGCTTTCCACTCCCTAAACACTTACAGTTGTGGAAACCCACTGGGGCTGAGTTTGGTTTGGTTTTGCTATACGATGCCTCCCTTGACTCACATTTTTTCTTTTTTTAAATTTCTTTTGGGATAAATAGGGAGTATATATTGACAGGAGAATTCCATTTGTAAGGCTGTCTTAGGTAAGGCAACAATATCGAGTGGGGTCTAGGAGAATTTCCATCATAACCCATCATGCTTTTCCTGCCAACAGTGATAGGACGTTTTGACAGTGTTATATCTCCTGCCAGCACATTTTGCTCCTTCATCCTCTGTGCCTGGGATACATTTGTGCTCTAGGATAAGGGGGCAGGGTGTTGCCAGGCATCAAAAGAAAGCAGGGTATCTTCCTGTTTTTCAAAGTAACATTCATCTATGCCTGTAAAGGAGTTTTCAGTATTTACATCCATTAACCCTGTAGAGCACCATTTGCTTAATAATAGAAAGGTTAAAATTACTCACATGAGGAAAGACTACATACAACAGGTATATAGTCACTGTTTCCCCAGAAGAAACAGCAATAGCTGAAATGTATACAGCGCTTCCGATAGGTTAGGGACAGCACTCTGGGACAGAGTGGCCTGCAGAATAGGCTACGTGGAGCATAGCTCTGTGTGCTACAGCAGGGGTACTCCACCTTCCTCAGGCCACGACCCTTCATGCAGGTCCTCATGTGGTGGTGACCCCCAGCCATAACATTATCTTCGTCGCTACCTCATCACTGTCATTTTGCTACTGTTAGGAATCATCCTGTAAATAGCTGACATGCAGGATGTATTTTCATTGTTACAAATTGAACATAATTAAAACATAGTGAGGAATCATAAAATAATATGTAATTATATATGGTGAAATATTTATCTCTAATGACAAATAAATGAAATTTTGTCTTGAAGCATGGTGTGGCATGGGTAACAGTTTTCACGCCCAGTTCTCGTATGTGGGTCTATCTGTATGTGGGCAGACCCTCCTGGAGACGGATAGAGGAGTGGTGTCTCAGCTCCTAAGACTATTGGAAATATGTGTTTTCCGATGGTCTTAAGCGACCCCTGTAAAAGGGTCGTTTGACCCCCAGGTTGAGAACAGCTGTGCTACATAGAGTTGCTAATTGAAAGCCCGGGGATTGAACCCATCAGTCCCTGTATGAGAAAAAAGATAAGGCAATCTTCTCTTGTAAAGATTTAAAGTCTTGGAAACTCCAACAGGCAGCTGTACTCTGTCCTATAGAGTAACTATAAGGAGGCACTGACTCCATGACAGTGATTGATATGTTTGGAAATAGCACACATTAGTTCATTGAATTCTTGCAAATGCTCTGAACTATTGCCATTGATTATGGCCATTTAATGAGGAAATGAAAGGACATAGTGATTATATAACTCGCCCAAGGTCATATTACTGGTAAAAGGTAGAACCAGCACTGCTTAGTTACTAGGATAAGATAGCCATAAGAAGCCCCGAGGTGCAATGGGTAAGCACTGTGCTGTTAACCTGAACGTCTATGGTTCAAACCCACCAATCGCTCTGGGTGGGGCAGAAAGGACTCGGTGATGTGCACTCACAGAGATCTCAGCGCAGCCAACCCCACGGAGCAGGTCTACTCTGTCACATAGGGTCATTATGCATGGAAACGACTCAACAGCACACACCAACACCGTCACCACAAAGGGGTAAGTAATATATGTTCAAAATAAGTGTCGGAATCAACTTAAAAAAAAAAGAAAACCCAGAAGTTTTAGAGAAGCAACAGAGAAGCTAGTCACAATAAGTTTTAACTACTGAAAACAGATATATGAAGGCTTGTTTATAAAAATAAGTTTCTGAGCTCAAAATGTATTTCAGATCAATGGCTCCAGGGTACATTGTACATAATTTAATTTCCCCAGTTGAGTATCTTGACAGTATATGAACCATGAATGCATGAAATAGGAGTTGCAAATGCCTTCCACATGGTGAGAGAGCTGTAGAAGACATGTGCAGGAAGCTTGAAAGTACAGTAGTTTTAAATTAAGATATTCTTGATCTTAGTTACTTTTACTTTGTATGCCGAAGGTATTAGCACGTTTCTCTGATGGTGCCCTGAGATGATAGATAGATGAGCCTGCTCTCTGTATTAAGTCACTGTACTCATTTCCTGAAAGCTCTGGGGAAGGCATTCGGATGCTCATTAAGTTTCCTTCCAGTCCCCAACATCAACAGGTGGTGAATCAAAGCTTCCCTGGTATGTCATGACTGGTCTCCTCGATGTCTTGGATAAGACAGATGGCATCTGCATGCTCTGTGTAGCACCAGCAGATACGAAGGGGATGAACAGCAACAGGAAATATTTCCCAAGCATAAATAAACATACAAATCTAGGAAGATTATAACTCATGTTCTTGCAGCCATACATTCTAAATCCATACATGGTATTTCATCTTTTAACTGTTCCTCCATGTTCTAACCCTGCTTGGCTACCTAATAGAAGAAGCAAAGTAAATTAAGGGGATGAAAAAAATCTATAGTTAATGATGCCACCCCATCATCATAAAATTATAAACTTTTAACTGTATTTGTTACAGTTATCCAGCGACCGATAATGACCCAGATGAATCCTTATGTTAACCCATTTTGAACAGTATTCACTGATAGTGAGCATCTATTACGTGCTTAGGAAGCCACACCCTGAACCAGACAACACTTAAAGGTCAAGAGTAGAATTGATGATCTCAATTAAATCCATAGGAGATGATGAATGGATTTTTTGTTTGCTGTTTTTGTTTCCCAGTCGGTCGCTCCTTCTCACTAAGGTTACTACTTAAAACGATTGAAGAAAATGCCAGCACTCGATGACCTTGAGAAATGGATCTGGCAATTTCTAATGACCCTTGCAGGCAAAAAAAAAAATCTTACTTTTGGTGGGAAGTCACAAAAATAGCTCCTAATTTGAAAAAGTTCTGAATATTCAGGCGAGTCTACAGATGATGAAGCAAAGACCACGGGCCCAGTATTCACATTAAACTTAAACCCCAAACCACCACAGTGGAGCTGAGTCTGACTCATCATGACCCTGTAGGACAGAGTAGAACTGCCCCATAGAGTTTCCAAGGCTATAAATACTTAAGGAAGGGGCCTGCCTCATCTTTCTCCCATGGAGCAGCTGGTGGGCTCAGATGATTGACTTCGAGATTAGCAGCTCAAAGCTTAGGCAACAATAGCAAATAGCAATGCTTGAAATCACACATGTTGTGTTGTTTAGGAAAAAATAATTCTACAGGTAGTTCCCATGTTATGAATGAGATTCATTCCCTTGTCTTTACAATTTTGTAGGGAAGCCTAAACCACTGCACATGGTTCTTAATTAACTTTACTTTAATGCCAGACAAGGAGCCTGGGTGGCGCTGTTGAGTCAAGTGTTGGACTAAGTCCCTTGGTCATGGTTGTCCTTGAAAGCCACGAGCTCCTCCAAGGAGAAAGATGATGCTACTTGCTTCTGGAAAGGTTTACAGCCTTGGCAATGTCCAGGGGCAGTTCTGTGTGGTCTATAGAGATCTCAGAGCTAGTATTGACCGGATGGCGCTGAGATGAGCTGGCCTTGACTCACTGGCAGTAGGTTTAGTGTAAGGAAAGTCTCGACACCTCTTCAATGGTTTAAAAGGAGTACACACAGCAAATGAAGGTTACTGTGATTAAGAATGTGTGAGGAGGCATTGGCTCAATTGTTAGAATGTGGGCAAATCTACATTATATAAAAGGGCGAGTATGAGTAGTCTCTGAATAAGAGGTTTGTAGTCTGAGGCATGTCTGTACAAAACAGTCTAATAAGAGGTACACAATTGTATGTGCACACAAAAGGGACTTCTAAAAGTTTGTAGGAAAATGAAATTAAAGACATTGGCACTTCTCCATGAACTTTTTGAAGCCTCTTCCCTATGATAAAACGCAATGTTTCAACATACTTATGAAATCATATTACCTTAAGTGAATTACTTTCAAAGTACAACCTTCACAAAACAGTATAACTACACTGCACTGAAAGTCAGGAGTAGTAAACTTAGAACGGTCTAACCTGAGACTGATTCAAATTCTACAGCCGATTTGCAATGGGTCACTCTACCAAACACTACTAAATGAAACAAACAAACAAAACTTTCAAATAAGATGCTAATTTTAAAGAGCAGCCACAGCTAAGGTAATAGAATCTCAAGCCTTCTCAGCTGTTAATTAACTTTTGAGATTTGTCTGTTTTTAAAATTAAAATGTTTACAAACTAAGATTTTTAAAAAATACATAGAAAGTTTATGGGGACCAAAGACATTGGGTTAAAATCTTTTAATACCATGATGACCAGCGAGAATTGTTGACAGGAAGTAGAAGCCCAAGATATGTTAGAAGGATTGTTTTAAAGGGTGAATCACAAGAACAGCTGCCCAACCATCAGGTTTATGGGATGTTAAGACTACTGCTGATAAAAATCTGACAGGATCTCAGGGATAAGATGCAACATGAACGCAGACAGAACTTCCACATTTTTAAGAGTTACTCTGACTTCAATGAAGGGCCATTTACAGCAGCCCCACATAGGTGGTAGAGCAGGTTCAGAAACCAAGCCTGCAGCAAATTTTACCCCTTCTTAACTTTTAATTAAAGCAAAAGTAATTCCTTGAGATGGTTGAAGTGGATTTAAATCACAAGTATTTTCATTTCTTAGTTTTTCCTAGTATCCTCCTATTTTGGTGGTCCTCACCATGTCCCTCCCAGGACGACATGACTGTCAACATATTATTTACCTTTATCCCCGGCAGTCCAGGAAGGCCCGGAAGCCCTGGTTCACCCTACACAGGAAAATCACACAGCATTATAGAGCAATGGTCACGCAGTCACATCAGGAGAAATGCATGGAGAAAAAGCTTCCGAGTAGAATATGACATAGAAATGAATAAATGAACATATTGGTCCAGTTTCTAAAAGATTGGCAAAAGTATGCAATTCAGTCAACTCTTGACCACTGTGCACATCAGTCCGGTTTTTCCATCTTTCGGCTTAGCAGCTCAACCAGAAGGCGAGAAAGGGGTAAAATGAGAAGGCAGATCTCCGAGTATATAATATACTATTACTCCTTTGGTAAAAGATTTACTGGGGCGACTGAAGCTATTTGCTGCAACAAGGGTATGCATTTCAATACTGCATCCATGTCCAGTGCCCGCCCCCTCCCCACCTCAGAGAATCAAGAGTTGGCTGTATGAACATATGGTCCCATCAAAGGAATAAACACTAAACTCTGGCTCACTTCAAAGTATAGTAAGATTTCTTTTCCATTCCTGAAGGATGAGAAGAGTCTCCTTAAACCTAGCCGATGTTTCTGACAATTGTTTGAATGTGGGCAACCCTGCTTAGCAGCTTATGGCTAATGGTACCACACAGCTGTTCCTGAATACGGGGTTGAGATTAAGTGGTACATTTGGGGTGAGCACATTGGAGTCAAATTAAAGCTTCTCGTTTTCAAAGACTTGTCCGGATTATTTCGGGCACAAAGTATTGTGACAAGAGGTACATTGCTTAGAAAATCTCCTGAATTTTACTGTAGATGCATAAGAGAAATACAGGAGAAAATGTATTTCCCTCTGTATTGGACAGATGTGATTACTATTTCTGGAAATAACATTTGAAGGCAGAATGGTGACTCCATTTCATGATGGTTGGTGCAACAATGATGATAAAAGAATCATCACACTAACCATCAAGATGGTAGTGGTAGGGGGTGCAATTTCTAGGAATATTTGCGAAGACTCAGCACATCTTCCATATTGAATATGAGTTCTTTCTAAATTATGAAAAGTAAGGCTTTGCTCTGCTATAAATCATAAAACAATTCCAGGTACTGTATATCAATAAGCTGTATAATTAGAACATCGAAAGGGGCATGGCTTCTTGGTGTTTGGGGTCACAGGTACTTCAGGAGAGTGAAAGCGAATCTGCATAAACGAGAGCTTCCATTCTGAACAATAAGACGGGGTGAGATTAATCAGAGCAGGAAGGGTAGACACAACCATTCTCATTTTGTTGTGAGAATGTATAACTATCAGGAATCGCTTTGTTATTCCATTTATAGAGTTAGTGTCCTAGTAGATTCCACTTTACACAGATGTGACCCAATACTTCTGATTTCTGCTTCCTTTCCTTTCTTTTCCCCCAATACATTTAAGAGGCATCGTCGAAAGGACTCGTATCCATGTTTCACAAATGACTCATTTATGCTCTAAAAAAAGCATAAGGCCTTTGAAAACATATTGATTAGAAGTAGAATCAATAATCAACATAATTAAACATGTTCATGATAAATCTGTAGCTTTTGTATTGTTCTGAGAAGTTTCCCAAAGCTTAGAACATCATAGCTGAAATACTTATAGGGATATTTATAGGCAGTAATATTGCTTTCCAGTGGGTCTTTACCATACTATTCATTCCTATCAAACAACTAGGATATTATGGTTTCTTCAAGGAAAGATTTTTATACATGTGTATATAGCCGTATGGACTCATGTTTTATAACAATGAGAAAAATGTATAATATGGAATATTTTAAAATATCGAATGAAAGCTCACATAGACTATGCACATTTAGCAGTGTCCTTCATTTGTGTGTGTTATATGTGTAAGGCTATAAATGTACGATGGAGGGAAATATTTTAAGAATTAATATTTTATAGTTTTATATTTTTGTGAAATTTCCTTTACCAAATTTATGCTTAATTAACGTATTAGTTGACATAAGGGAAGACTACAAAACATTGACTTTCTCTTATTTCCTCTTGTGGGGCATCTAAAAACTTTAACGAGACATTTTCTTCTATATTAATCCTGCATCTTTCAGGTGTGAAAGCTTCACTTTCAACTACGTTTTCCAGCTAACACATCCACCTGCTCCTACTGCAGGGCAAGAAGAGCCACTGCCCGGGGTTCTGGGGCTTGCACTGCCAGAATGTAGGTCATCCTTTGAAGGCAGACTCTTGTCTGTCTGCCTTCAGTTCAGACACTGCTTTCACCTTGCAGTCTGTTGCCATGGCTTTTTACGGCTCAGCCATGGGAGTCCTCTTTGACAAGAGATAAAATAATTTATCCCTTTAAATTTAAAAGAGAGACTTTAGAAATATGTGGGAGATACAAAGAAGGAAAGCATTATATGATGAAACACAGCCTCTTCTACTATACACAGCTACACACTCTGCAAACACACACACATACACACACTTAAGAGTATTATCATTATATTCTCTAGGCTCTAAAAAGAAAAATAATCTGTAATGAAATTCCTTTACTGTGAATGCTACTTTAAATAGCAAACTTTCATACTGGGCAATGGTACACAGTAGAAAGCTAATTTAATGACTTTTTGCTCCATCGTGATGCCCCATACTTTTCTGGGAGCATGCGTCAAGAATGAGCTGATGTGTCAATCACCCCACAAAACAGTTTTGCAAAGGTGCAAAAAATACCACCAAATTGTGAGCAAGCCCTAGAGTATTCAGTATTCAGTTGAATTTGTCATTTTCCTAATCTAAGCGAGCAGCCATTGTGTCAATGGTCTCTTTAAACCAGTGTTGTGCTAAGAACTGTCAACTCCAGGAATTGGATAAGGGGAGTCATCACTGACTAGGAAAAAAGTACCATTACCTCAAAGGGTAGACTCTGACCTAAATATTAATGAAAAAGATGTTGCTCATTACAAGGCGCATAGGCAGTTAACTGGGTTATATGCTTTTAATGAGTCCATCCCATTCTTTCAGTGTATTTTGAAACTAATTTTTAATTAAATGCAAAGGGAATCTAATGGTCTCAGGTGTGGACCTAAGAACTCAAAAACCTGATGTATCTAAATTATATTTTTAAATAATCATAACAAGGCAACATTTTATTAAGCAATTGAGTATTCTAGAAAAACTAGCATCTACAAAAGATTACAGCAGAATTCTCTTTTGTTTAAAGAGACAGAACAGATATTCAGATATCTTTTTCTTTTTTTAAATCAAAGAACAGATTGACGAGCCATTTAAATTTAGCCTTTGATATATTTAAAGTTTAAGGGATCTAAAAGCAGACTATCTGAGAAGAATATTTTATTTGTCAATGAAATTTTTTTTTCAAATGAAAGCATCCTTGATTAAGTCACTGATTTTAAATTTCTGACATGAAGCATCAGAAAAAACTTAAGGTTAACAGTAAAAAACAAAACAAAAACCATAGTTCTGCTGGCCTCTCCAGAAAAGTCTCAGATCTACCTGCTAAATTCTTTCTCATCAAGTCTTAACTTCAAGCAAAAAGTCTGTTTTAAAATAGATCTTAAAGGAACGTACAACCAAACACACCGCCATTGCCCGGCGTCCGACTCCTATCGATCCTGTAGGGCAGAGTAGAAGTGCCCTGTGGGGGTCTAGGCTGTAACTCTCTATGGGAGTAGTAAGTGTTTCTCCTAAGGAGAAACTGGTGGCTTTGAAAGGCTGACCTGGAGGTTGACAGTCCAATGAGTAACCAGTATGCCACCAGAGCTCCCCAAACAATGTAAAGGCCTTCTTAAAAATGACTTGAGCCTGAAGTGTTTAAAACAAAACAGTGGTACTCCAATGGCGTGAAGAAGGTGGGAACATCAGTTTATTATGTCTCAAGGCTCCAGACTTACTACAATGGGATTTATTCTCGCTACACTCTTTCTACTAATGAGGAAAATTCCACATCAGCTACTGCTAGACAAAGGCAGAGTCATGAATTTAGGAGATTCAACCTAATGTGGAATTCACATTTACATGTTAGCTACATCTGTTAACTAAATTCTGACTGCACTGGGCATTGATAGGCAGATGCTCAGACGATAGACTGCTAGCAGTTGTTTCCTGCCTCAGATGCAAAGGAGCACGAATCTAACACATTCATTACATGTCCCCAAATTTATTGCGCCATGCCCCAAAATAATTTCAACATTTACATAGACCGGTGAGTTATAGTGGCTTTGGGCTCACATCTTGAATGAAAATTTAGGTTATTAAAAATTTGAGTTATGCAATGGAGTATCTATTGCATAGGTAGATATTATTTTCATAAACAGTGATCAGCAGGTTAAACGTTTGCAAGGAAGGAAAAGAAATATAGTTTATTACAAGATGTCCATCATTCTCTATCAAGAGAGTTTAGTCTATATTCGTTTCTTCTCTAGAAAGACAGAAACATGCAAACGATCTTTAAACATGCCAGCTAAGGAGTGGGCCTTCCAAGCAGACGGCCCTCGGTTAGTGTCAAACGGATGCATATATACAGACTGTGAAGTTTTTTGGTTTTTTTAGTCTGATGCTATGGCCAGAAACAAAATATATTAAAATGCAAAGCAAGCAATAATGACTTGCATGCGAAGCACAGGAAAATGGCCCCATTTTGCAAAGACAGGTGTTTTCATATTGCACTGTGGGTGGTGGATGTAACAGGATGAAAATGAGGGAGCAGCAGACATGGAGAGGTTACCTTTTGTCCCGGACGACCAGATTCGCCAGGTTCACCCTGTGCAAAGACAATCACAGATGAAAGGAACACCGTCTTGCAAGCAGTTTTTAAAACGCAGAAAAGCCTCTGAGAATTTTCACAGCAATGTCTCAGCCTGTTGCTCTACGTCTCACTATATATAGAAAACAATTCTGCTGGGAATATATTTAAAATTCACATGCAAATAATCCATAGTTCCATAAAAGCCAATCAAGGAAAAGAGAAGACAAGCTATCTCATTAGGCCTCTACTACTCCTAATAGTTATGCTCTGTGTGTCTGAAAGCTGACTCTGCAGGAGAATGGCAACAGTCTCCTGACCATTAGAGTGGGTGAAAGGGGCGAGAAGGTAGAAGCTGGTGAACATAAAAACTCTGACTCTTGGGTTACAAATACATCAACTCTCTGCCACTGAGTCAATTCAGATTCATCGTGACCCTGTAGGCTAGGGTTAAACAGCTCCTATGATTTTCTGAGACTATAACTCATTTCAAGAGTTGAAAAGCAAGGATGGCACCTTCAGGACTAAAGTGTGCTTGACCCAAGACATGATATTTTCAATGGCCTCCTCTAGGAAAGTCAGAGTTTGAATCAGGAAGACTGAAGAGGAATCGATACATTGGAATGGTGGGGCTGGAGAAGAATGCTGAAAGTGCCGTGGACTGCTGACAGGACACACTGATCTGTCTTGGAAGAAGTACAGCCAGAGTGCTCCTTAGAGGCGAGGATTGTGAGACTTCATCTCACAGACTTAGGGAATGTTATCTGGAGGGACGAGCTCCTGGAGGGCATTATGTTTGGTAAAGTGGAAGGGCAGCAAAGGAGTGGAAGGAGCTCAAGGAGATGGAGGGATGCTGTGACTGCAGCAATGGGCTGTAGCAGAGGAACAATTGTGAGGCCCGTAAAGGACCTGGCGGGGTTTCCTTCTGGGTGCATAAGGCCACTATGGGTCAGGGCTGACTCTCGGGCATCTCACAGCAACTGCAACAATTCTTTGTGGGAGTGTAGAAAGTCTCATCTTTCTCCTGAGGAGTAGCTGGTAGATTTGAACTGCTGACCTGGTGGTTAGCTCCCCGATACATACCTTAATGCCAGCAGCAGATGACCCAGGATCGCCCTGGAATGAAACACAAGAGAGTTAGTTCCTAAGTTAGAAATATGGTGGGAGTAGACAACATCACAAACTCACAGAGCCAGTTTTGACCCGGATACTCAAAGGGGCCTTAAAACTAACAGCATTTGTCTTAATAGATCAGCTGTTGTGATGTTAACTATTTCTAAGGCCAACAAGGTACCTCTCAAAAATATGGGTTGATTTTGAATGCAAAATACTACACTGTTTACTATAAATATAAAACTGTGAATCTCTTGGTACGGTGCGAAAACTGCATTCTAAGACAATTGCCTTCAGTTTCAGGAAGCTCTACTTCTCTTTGTTTCTGGAATGTATTAATGTCACTGGCGATCATGTACTGAGCTCCCTGACCCTTGTGGCCTTCAGAAAGTCAGGGGTCAACAGATGCAGTCGAGAGGTTAATGCTGTGGGGAAGGAAAAAGCCATGCTCCCAATCCGTTCCTTTTCTTCCTGAAACACGGTCACAGCGAAGACCAGCACATTTCCCGCTTGACACTGTTTCATTGTAATGTGGTCACTGAGGAGTTACATGATGATGGATGACCTTCGGGTGATGGGGATACTTGTCAGCTGTCAGATGAAATCTGGAGATAAGAGCTGGTTTTCCAGGAGGCACTAGACTCTCCCCAGACTTCATAGAGGGTCACTATATTTCTAAAGCAAACATATTATAATTAAGCACAGAGGGCCAGTGCAGAAAAGAATATTGGAGACTAGCAGGGAATACTGCCTATCTCTGAAATGAGGTTGGCAAAATCCTTAGGTTTTCAAGCTTCCTGGAGCTCATTCCATCACATTCCATCCATACTAGAAGGTAAAAGGAAGGGGAGATAACTTTGTCACTTCAGAGGCTGGCAGGAAAAGAAATACACCTACAAGTGGAAATATACATATTCAGATTTCCTCAGCTGCCTCATCTGTGCTGGGCCTGCAGTCCATTTCCTTGTTCCAGACCCTGGAAGCTGCTCATAAATCTCTTAGCGACAGAGATAAAGCCTCAGGCCTTTGTTAGAGAAACACTTGTCAGTTCCCCATAACACTGCTCCTCTCCGCCCAGTCTGGCACCTTCTCTTTCCTCAGATCTCCGAGCAGTCTCGGAGAAGGTTTCACTGACCAAGAAGGCGTGTGCCCCTCACAGTGCACATCTTCCTGGAGAGCAGCAGGCCCTATGCACATCCTGCAGAGTTCATTGGCTAATTATGTGTTCATGGCTTCTTCCTTATCACTGTCTCTCCATTGCACGCGTGCAGATGTGCAGTTGATCTTAACTCAGCACCTGGCCCATCGTAAATGCTCAATACACGTACGATGAAGAAAGAAACAAATTTCCAAAAGAAAAATTTAGACTTGTCAGCAGTCAAGGATGGAAGTCATTAAATATTTAGGAAGCAAACATCTTTACAAAAGAGACGGAAATAGTACATTGGCATAGTGAGAAGGATGATATTTCTGTTGATGTCTTGGGCATCTTTTTTAAGGAGGCCCGATGGCTCAGTGGTTAGGCACCCAGCTGGCTCTACGCAAAACGTCTGTGGTTGGAGTGTACCCAGCGCTCTGGAGGATAAAGATGTTGCAGTCTGCTTCTGTCAAGGTTACAGAAACCCTATGGGAAAGGTTCTACTCTGTCCAATAAGGTCACTATGAATCTGAATCAGCTTGGTGGCACCAGGTCTAGTTTTGGGTTTTCATTGCTATTACCCAAGTAAAGCTCTCGGCTCTCTCAATGAACCTATGACTAAACATAAAAAAGAAAAGGACCCCAGGGCCTTACTATGGAATGACACTGAGCTTGCCTTCATTGAGTGCGGGATGGGAAGTAAAGTGGATATGGCTAATAAAATCACACAGTCCAACGTCAGTGAACTGAAGCCAGACAACCATCAACACAAATCCAAGTGGTAAGAGTTAGCACAATATGTTCTTTGTACTCATATCAGCAAGTCTGCCTGCTGGGTCCTTGCTTCCATCAAAAATATACCCCATTACACTGCCATGAAATAGGACAAATATCAGTACTTTAATAGATGAGAAAACGGAATCAACGAGAGGGCAAGCGAGTCTTGGGTTCCCTACAGAGTACAAGTTCTTTTCATACGAATTAGAAAAGTATTAGAAGTCCATTTCAGTTTGACAACAGGGCATAAAGAGCGCTGTGCACTTAGCAATAAAAGTAAGTGGCTTGTATTAACTGCAGTTAATTTTTTAAAAGGCTTTTTTAATGCCAAATAAATAGATAATTCACTAATGAGAACAGAATGAGATTTTGTTCTCATAGCAAGTGGGCAGAAAGCAAGAAATAGTTGCCTAAAAGACTGATTTACTTGTGGAAATCCGAGCAGTTTTTCATTTTCATGGACAGCAATGAGTGATATTTTTACTCATTTTCAAAACACTGTGAAATCCTAAGGAATTTTTATAACATGTAAGTGGCAAGGCAACTGCTGGAAGACATTCACAAGTCCAATGTTTAGAAGGCTACTGCTGGAAGCAGTGGAAATGAAACAATGCATGCTGCTGATCCTCCTCCGACAGTGAAACTGAACATGGGATTAGTCGGGAGAAGACCTAAGCACATTCTCACGAGTCAGTTCAGTTGGTTTGGGAATAAAAGTATCAGCAAACGAAGTCAGAGACGGGAAATAGCGTCAGAAGATAGTTGCAATAAAGAAATTTTATTGTGTTTATTCAAATAAAGAGCTTCTGTTGTTGTTATTGTTTTTGACCACAACACTTAGTAAATAATTCCATGGATGGGTGGTGAAGCCTGTGAGGACATGTGAAATCCAAGTGGTGACATATTTTGACCTTCATTGAGCACCTGGATGCGGGAATGCTGGTTTCTGGGAGACAGAAGTGGGTCAGGCTGTGACACCCCCTACCCTTAAGCTGCCCTTTTGAAGATCATTGTATCTGTCTCTCCTTGGGGGCACAGTAACAGCCTTGCTTTTCAATACTCTATAGAGGTCTTTCGCAACAGATGTACCTGATGCAACACATCTTTTGATCTCTTGCTTGCTGTTTCCATGAGCAATGATGGTATATCCAAGCAAGATGAAATCCTGGACAGCTTCAACCTTTTCTCCATTTATCACGTTGTTACCTGTTGGTCCAGATGTGAGGCTTTTGGTCTTCTTTACATTAAGTCACAATCCATACTGAAGGCTGCAATGCTTGATCTTCATCAGCAATTGCCTTACGTCTTCCTCACTTGCAGCAAGCAAGGTGGTGTCACCTGCATATCACAGGTTGTTAATAAGCCTTCCTCCAATTCTGATGCCACATTCTTCTTCATATAATCCAACTTCTCTGATGATCTGCTCAGCATACAAATTGAATAAGTATGGTGAGAGGATACAACCCTGATGCACACCTTTCCTTATTTTAAACCATGCAGCATTCTGAATGAGCACAATGAAGAGTTCTGGAATTCTCATTCTTCTCAAGGTTATCTGAAAATGGAAGAAGAATCGATGCATTTGAGTTGTGGTGCTGGAGAATAATATTTAAAGTACCATGGACTGTGAGATAGTTAAAGTTTATTGTGCCAATCTGGCTGATAAACACATATGGGTTTAATTGAAGGGTGGAGAGATAAATGGCTTGGTGAGCCTTGCCTTTCTAGTTCTCGGGTCTCTTGCTTTCTGTGGTTGGACCAGGATGCAGCTGCCTTAGCCAGTTTCCTGCTTCAGTTGGCAAGGCTCACTTCCTGCAAGACATCCCTGAGAAGCCACATGGACCTACCCCGATGCAGTCCTGGGTGCTGGAGCAGCTGTGTGGAGACCGGTGCCAGCGCTGAGATGCTTACACATTCACTGACTCAGCTTCCCTCCTGCAGTCGGCATCATTGCATGTGTTTTGTGAGATGGAGGAGGACTTTGTGGATTGGTGTTGGACATATGGGCTAATGTTGGACTTGCGGCTCAGGCAGCACTGGGTTGGGGTGTTTTCTTAATGTGCACTTACCCTTTATATAAAACTCTCTCTTATACATATGAATTTCTGTGGATTTGTTTCTCTAAAGTACCCAGACTGACACAGACTGCTAGAAGGACAAACAAATCTGTTTTGGGAGAAGTATTGCCAGAGTACTCCGGAAGGGCAAGAATTGCAAGACTTCGTCATACACACTTTGGACATATTGTGAGGAGATATACCAGTCCCTGGAGAAGAACTTATTAAGCTTATTAACAACCTTTGATATGCAGATGAAAAAATCTTGCTAGCTGAAGGTGAGGAGGACTTGGAGCACTTTCTTGCTGATGAAGACTAAGGATTATAGCCTTAGTCTTTAGAATACAATTCAATTAAAAGAAGATAAAAAATCCTCATCACTGGAGCCCAGGGTAACATCATGAGAAGGGGAGAAAAGGTTGAAGTTGTCAAGGATTTCACCTTGTTTGGATCCACAATCAATGTCCATGGAAACAGTAGTCAAGAAATGAAAATCATGTGGCATTAGGTAAATATGCTGCACAAGACCCCTGAAGAGTATTGAAAAGCAAGAATGTTACTTTGAGGACTAAGGTAGGCCTGACCCAAGGCCTGGTATTTTCCGTTGCTTCTCATGCATGTGATGGCGGGACAAAGAGAGACTGAAGAAGAATCGTTACATTGGGTGAAGAACATTGGAAGTACCATGGTCGGCCAAAAGAATACACAGACCTGTCTGGAAGAAGGATGGCCTCCTTAGAGGCAAGGATGGGAAGATTGCATCTCACCTGCTTTGGACATATTGCCAGGAAAGACCTGCCCCAGGAGAAGGGCATCATGCTTCCTAAGTAGAGGGGCAGTGAAAAGGAAGAAGGTCCTGTCAAGATAGAGCAAATAGAGGCTACACCAGTGGGTTCAAACATAAGGGCAATTGTGAAGGTGGCGTAGGACTGGGCACTGCTTCCTTCTGTCGTCCACAGGGTCCCTGTGCGGAGGAACGGCCTCCGCGGCAGCTAATCACAACAACATGAGTCTAAATCAGTGCAATAGCA